GAGGCTAGAAAACTGTGAGCTAGCTCACACTAACTCAGCTTAGAGGGAACACCGGTGTGGACTGCTTCTGCCCAGTAAGACTCTGAAAGTCCAGATTGCATTAGCATAGAACGCGCCATTTCTTGAATGGTTCTGTTTAAGCGTTCTGCCATTCCATTTTGTTGTGGAGAATAAGGAATTGTAGTCTTATGTTCAATTCCTTCTTGTTCCATGAATCTTTGGAACTCACTGCTGCAGTATTCTGTGCCATTATCTGTGAACAGCACGTCTGGTGCTTTGCCAAATTTGTTTTTAACAGCAGCAACGTAGCATTTAAACTTGTCAAGCACCTCATCTTTGCTCCTAAGCAGGTAATATAGACATATCTGGATTTCCCCCCAACCCTAAACTGTTTAAAATTTGTAAAAATAATGGCAATCTCATGATGGATCAACCACACTCTTGTCTTCTTGGGTCATCGTCGTAGGCCCACTTTTGACTACTGGAATCAGTAACAGACTACACCAGTTTCTTCTGAGGTATTCATAATGGAATATCAAAGTAGATTGATTTTAGAGCAGAAACTGTTTGGAGTTCAGCAAACACCAGAGTCATTTTCTCTCCCACATATATATATACACACAAAAAGCCAGGAGGCAGTAGCATTCCATGGTAGACTGACATACGGCACATGGATAGACAAGGGGAGGGGAGGGACTGGCCAAATGCACACACGAATCTAGGTTCTGCACCTTTCTTAATACAAGGGATAGATCAAACCAAAAGGTAGCCAGGGCCAGCTTAACCAGCTGATCCACCCACCTACCAAAACTAGGCTAGGCTCTCTTGAGCAGGTTTACAGTGCAATCCTAAATAGTGTTACACCCTCCGTTTCCCCCCTCCATTTTGGTGCCAAGACTGGCTCCTCTCTGCCAGTCACAAGGCCCAGAAAATGTTTCAGACCACCTCTAACACAAAGCCTGAGAGCCCGCAGAGGGGGAACAGGCAGGGTTGGGTGTAACCCTACTCTGATCCTTTCAAAGTTTCCAGACTGGTCCATTTTGGATTGGTTTGAATTTCCAGCTGAAAACCTGGCTCAGTAAAGTAATTAGGACTGTCTCTGTTCAACACCCCCTTCCCTCCAAAGATCTCCCTTTTTCTTTATTTGCAAATATTCCCAAGACTCCCTCCTTCAGACAACCTGGTGACTCACTTGCCCCCCCCAACCTGGGCATTCTTGTATTGTTGCATGCAGGGGCGGACTGGCAAGTTAAAAGGAAATAGCAGCAAGCCCAGCGGCACTGTGATGCTACAAGATGGCGCTGCTCAAACCTGAACAGCAGCACCAACAATGGGTGCTGGCTCACCCATTGCCACCTCCAGTGATCCTCCTCCATCAGAAGACATGACAGGAGAAAAGGACAGGAGCTGGCCATTTTTGCCTCCAAGTGCACCCCTGCCCCCATACCCATGGGTTTGATTCACAGAAACCAAGGCTTGGAAATCTCAGCAATATTGTTGTGGTTGCCTAGCAACTCCAAAAAGCCAACTGAGAGCTCAGTGGGCATTATTTTCTTAAGCTACAGACCACTGTTTCTACAGTTTTGGAAAGTTTTAATCCCATGATGTATTTTTTAAGATTTCAGATTTTTATGCAAATGTGGGACTACTTTCAGGTTTTTATCTGTGTCTAGTAGCGATGGGCACAAATCAGCTCACAAACCAAAGTTTGTGATGAATTTTGGCCAGTTCGGGATTTGCAAACTGAAGTTCCCATCGGTCAACCAGCATGAACTTTCCACGAACTTTCAAGCTGTTCCACAGAGCTTGCAAAATCCAACCCCCACCCTCGATTGGTTGGATTGGTGACTCTGTGCTTTGAGATCAGTCCTTTTAAACCTGCAATGCCAGTGGCACTAGTTCTGCTGAGCACAGTGCACTCGATCTGCTGGGCTTGCAAAAATGTCCTCCACTTTCAGTTTCTACTGCAGAGATTTTCTGGGACCTCGATTCTGTTCTCTGGGGCTTTTATTGCCCTTGCTTTTTTTACTGTTTTTTCCCCTCCATTAGAAGGGAGGATGGAGAATTTTCTTTTTTTGGGGGGGGCATAACTTGGACCCTGTAAATCCATCCCTCTCCAAACTTGGAAAGCAGGTAGAGGAGAGTCAGTCAGAGATCCCCTGCAAGTTTAGTGTCTCTAGCACACTGGGGGGGGGGGGCGTGTTCTACCACATCACAAACCTCACTGGTTCATTTAGGTCTTTAAAATTCATGATGAACAGTGGCTCACGAACAGGGCACACCATGAACCACAAGCTGAAACAAACCACATTTTCCTAGTTCATGCCCATCCCTAGTCCCTAGCTGCATCTGATGGATCTATTAACTCAC